ATTTCTTTTTCTTTTCTTTTTTTTTTTTTTTTTTTTGAGACAGAGTCTGAAGCTGTCACCCTAGGTAGAGTCCCATGGTGTCATAGCTCATAGCAACCTCCAACTCTGGCTCAAGCAATCCTCTTGTCTCAGTTTTTCTATTTTTAGTAGAGATGGGGTCTTGTTTTTTGCTCAGGCTGGTCTCGAACCCATAAGCTCAAGCTATCTACCTGCCTCAGCCTTGCAGAGTGAGCCACTGAGCCCCCAACCCCCCCCCCGCCTGAAAAAAAATTTGTTTTGAGACCAAGCCTCAAGCTGTCGCCCTGGGTAGAGTGCTATGACATCACAGCTAACAGCAACCTCCAACTCCTGGGCTTAAACGATTTTCTTGCCTCAGCCTCCCAAGTAGCTGGGACTATAGGAGCCAGCCACAACGCCCAGCTATTTTTTGGTTGTAGTTGTCATTGTTGTTTGGCAGGCCCAGGCTGGATTTGAACCTGCCAGCTCTGGTGTATGCGGCTGGCGCCTTAGCTGCTTGAACTACAGGTGCCGCCCCTGAGAATTTTTTTTTAAACCTTTTTTTTTTCTTTTTGAGACAGAATCTTATTTTGTTGCCCTTGGTAGAGTGCTGTGGTGTCACAGCTCACAGCAACCTCCAACTCTTGGGCTTAGGCAATTCTCTTGCCTCAGCCTCCATAGTAGCAGGGACTATAGGTGCCAACCACAAGACCCGGCTATTTTTTGTTGCAGTTTGGCTGGGGCTAGGCTCGAACCCACCACCTCAGTATATGGAGCCAGTGCCCTACCACTGAGCCACAGGCACCACTCTAAAACCTTTCCTAACCTATGAAGATGGAGATACTGATGAAGATACTGAGATGCAGAAAAGTGATTTACCCAAAGTCACAGAATTGGATCTTGGCAGAGCTGAGGCTGCAGCCCTCCTGACCTCTAGTCTCAGGCTGTACCACACTGTAGGCCCTCCCAGGCCCAATTAGAGAATAGAAAATTTATCTTAGGGCAGGTGTGGTGGCTTGCACCTATAATCCTAGCACTCTGGGAGGCTCTACTAAAAATAGAAAAAATGAGGCAAGAGGATCACTTGAGCCTGAGTTGGAGGTTGCTGTGAGCTATGACGCCATGGCACTCAGGGCAACAGCTTGAGACTCTTGTCTCAAAAAAAAAAAAAAAAAATGAAGACAAGAGGTTTGCTTGAGCCAAAAAGTTGGAGGTTGTTGTGAGCTATGATGCTGTGACACTTTACACAGGGTGACAGTCTGAGATTCTGTCTCAAAAAAAGAAAAAGTGTCTGGACTCTGCTTGGCCTCAATCAGTAACCAACTCACACCTCCTCTAGGCCTCAGGATGCTTTGAGAGATAGTTATACTTGTACCTGTCTGAATGGTTTGTGCAGGATAGTCCTCCCCAGGTAAGGCTTTTTGTGTACTTGCTGGTTCAGACATCTTTTGCTTTTTCTGCTCCACCATAGCCCACAATGATTGATGAGCTGTATGAGCTGGTGGTGGATGCCATCTTTGGCTTCAGCTTCAAAGGTGATGTTCGGGAGCCATTCCGCAGCATCCTGTCTGTCATGAATGGACTCAGTGTGCCCGTTGCCAGCATTGACATTCCTTCAGGTGCGGGGACCCAGAAGGTTGGGGATTTTGGGGGCCCTACCTGTGACTTGAGGGCTGGTACCTAGGAGTCCTGATTCTCTCTTTTTTAAAACCTTTAAAAATTATGTTGCCCTCGGTAGAGTGCCTAGCATCCCAGCTCACAGCAACCTCAAACTCTTGGGCTTAACCAATTCTCTTGCCTCAGCCTCCCAAGTAGCTGGGACTACAGGCAACCATCACAATCAATGCCTGGCTTTTTTTGTTGCTGTAGTTGTTTGGCAGGCCCAGGCCGGGTTTGAACCCGCCAGCCCCAGTGTATGTGACTGGCGAGCTACAGGCACCAAACCTGGCTATTTTTTTTTGTAGCTGTCATTGTTGTTTAAAGGCCCAGGCTGGGTTTGAACCTACCAGTCTAGGTGCATGTGGCCAGCGCCCTAACCACTGAGCATGGGCACCAAGCTGAAGTACTGATTTTTGAGCCACAGCTTAGACCATGTCTAAATAAAATAATATGAATGTAGAGGGGCAGAACACAGATTTCTAGATCCCACAACAGGGCTGGGGAGCAGAGTTCAGGAGTCCCTTTACATGTTGGCCCTATGGAGAGACTATAGCCCAAGGGTATGTGAAGCTCATAGGATGAGAGTTGCAGGGACTGAGCGGGCCTCCCACTTTTTTAGCGCTAGCGTAAAAGTGTGGAAGAGGACATCTATCCTTGTGCTCTTTATACCACTCTCTTTTTTCAGGATGGGATGTGGAGAAAGGAAACTCTGGAGGGATCCAGCCAGACATGCTCATCTCCCTGACGGCACCCAAAAAATCTGCAACCCAGTTTACTGGTCGCTACCATTACCTGGGAGGCCGTTTTGTGCCACCTGCTCTGGAAAAGAAGTACCAGCTGAATCTGCCAGTCTACCCTGACACTGAGTGTGTGTATCGTTTGCAGTGAAGGTGGTGGGTGGGCATTCTTCCCAATAAAGACTTAGTGCTTCTCTCCCAGAAAACAGTGGAGTCCAGGAACTGTTAATAAAGGTTAGTGGGTGGCAGGAGCCAGAGGACAACACTGATTATGTGGCAAATTTTCTCTTAAGGAAACACAACAGACAAGAGGGGTTGCTATGGCATTTGGAAACAAGGAAAATTAACTGTTGGATCCCAGTGAGGTGTGCTGTCCTTTACATACCAGTGATTCCTAGCCATCTGCAACACAGAGCTGATGATGCCTCCAACCTACTTCCACTTACCAGTGTAGCAAGGCTACAAGGTTAGCAGAAGGAATTTCTTCAAAGGCCAAGGAAAATCTAATTTGTTTTCAGGATTTTCCTAGGCTGGGAATGGAGATTCCAGTCTAGAATTATCTGTAGGCTAAAGCCCAACTTGATGTTTATTCATTCATCTGCTTGTGCCAGAAACTGGCGACCCATGGACTGACACTAGCCTCAAAACCTGGATTTGTTGTTTTTCTTAGACTTCACAATATTTAAAAATCAGATTTTGGGCTTCTTATAGCAGAGATGACCCTTCAAAGGGTATCTGTGTTCCAGTTCCCACAGCCCCCGTGTTCCTTGTCCCTCAGCCACCTGGCTTATGGTGGGTTAGAAGCTGCAGAAGGGACTGCTCACTCCCCACACTAAGGTATGGTGCCATCACACTTGCTCTCAGCAAACTTACATTCCAGAGCTCAGTTACTCCTTATTCAGGGGAGCACAGAAGACTTGCACTGACCCAGGTCTCTAAGGCTTCAACTCCTGAAAGCAAATCAGTTGAGCCTAACCTTGAGCAGACCTTCAGTCTCTCTTCTGTTTCTTCTTTCTGGCTTTCTGTTCACTGCTGATTCCAGCTTTCTTCCTCTGGCTGCTGCTTGTGCCAGAGTGTGGTCTGTTTTCTGCCTTCCTAGTCCTGCCCTTCTCACCTCTTCTGTCCCTCACATCCCTATCTCCAAGCTGCTGTGTTCTTTTCTTGCTTCCCTTGCTTCTCCTATCTCTGTGTGCTCTGTCCTCTGTTTCCCTGATCCCAATGTCTACAATGGTTTCCTCAACTTCATTGTCTTCTAAGTTCAAATTCTCATAGTGCCGCCTCTTGCTTCTGCTGCATGGGTCAGTATGCGCTGTGTTTTCTCCCTCTATCTTGACAGCACTGGTAGCCTCCTTACCTCTTCCTCTTTCATCCAAGACCCCCATCTTCTTTTCTTCATGGCGATGCTTCTTTTTTCTCTTCCTTTTCCTGGAAGACTGATCAGTTGGCTCTTTGCTGAATTCCCTCAGCCCACCTGTTCCTGTAGCCTCTTCCTCCTTATCCCCTACAGCTGTCCCCACTGTCGGATAGGAGACCTTTTCTTCTTGGTGGTGTCTTTTCTTCTTTTTGCTTTTCCTGATGCTCTGGATGGTGTGTTCTGGGCACTTTTCATCTGCATTCCTTTCAGTTGTTGTAGCCTCTTCCTCCTCTTTCTGCTTTCTTTTCTTTTTCTTCTTTTTGGGCGGCTTGCTCTCTGACTGTGGTTGAGAGGCCTGAGAGGCCTTGCCTTTAAGATGAGCCAGGAAGGCCTGCTCCTGGGCCTCCAGCCGAGCGAGCTTGGCCTTCATTGTAATCCCAAGGCGGGCAGCCCTGAAATAGATGGGGTCTAAGTCAGAGCAAAGACATCAGGGAAACAGGTCCAATCCTTAGGGCTACAGGGAATGTTGGGGGTGGGGGCAGTGGCAGCAGGGAGTTTCCCATCTTTAGGCAGTAGGTAAGTGGACAGTAGGAATCATTTCCCTAGGTAAAAAGTCTCAAGATGTGGCATGGGCAGAAAGGAAGGGGCCGAGGGAGCTGTCCACCACTTACTTGTGTGCTGTTCGCCCCTCACAAGCTTGGAGCAGCATCTCATCAGTCAGACTGTACGGGGAGACCCTCAGTTAAGGACAGATTTGATGGGGAGACTTGACCCTCCTCCCTCTAAACATCCCTCCAGGACCCAACACTTTGAGGTGCTAGGGCCTAATACAACATAGTTCTACCCACTCAGAAACCCACAGTCGAGTGTTAGACTTAGTCCTTTCTCATGAGATCTGAGAGTATCTCCTCCCACGTGCCCCCTGTACTAAAGTGAAGTCTTACATCTTTGGGGGCTTGGGCCTCTGGTTGTCGTCATCACTGCAGCTCTCTAAGTCTCTGTCAGGCTTCTCTCCCTCTGAAGTCAGGGTGGCTGTCTAGAAGGAGGGGTCATAGGGGTAAACATGGCCTACCCAATGCCACTAACATCCCTGTGTCCTTGTGGAAAGCCCCTAAGAATTCAAAGCCTTAGGCAGAGTTTTCCAGTCCTAACTGTTCCCTGCAAAGCAAAAGAGAGGTATGCTACTCTGCACACTTCAGCCTGGGCAGAAGGTAAGCTGTAGCTGCTGGGAGGTAGAGAATCTTTGCTCTCTGGTTCACTCCAGACTTTTAAAGCAGCACAAGAAGGGAGTACTCAGTCATCAGTTCTTCACAGTGGGACAGGTGCCAGTAACTAACAATAAAGATGCCCTCTGCACTGCTACTACATTACCTATTCACAGTACCTTCATTTAGCCAGATTAACTGAGAGTCTTATGGGCTGAGGAGTGGGGGATACAAAGTGGAGTAAGAATGAGATGGGTCCAGGCTCAGCACCTGGAGCTCAGTGGTTAGGGCACCGGCCACATACACTGAGGCAGGTGGGTCTGAACCCTGTCCAGGCCTGCTAAACGATGACAACT